ATCGAATTTTCATCTTCCATTCATTGTAATCCATTCAAAACAGTAAGAAAGTATATTTTGTCTTTGACCATCTTTTTTTGCATTTTCTTTTTATTGTATGTTGATCTAAGAACATACGACAGTTTCAAATGTAATTGGATTCTTTTGCGATGAAGCCAAAAAAGACAGAAAAAAGTAAAGTAGGTGGGTAACCACCTTCATGTGGTAGACGAATGTAGTCAATGTTTTTTTTTTTGTTTTCCATTGTTATGACTATACAATCTGGATGACTCTGAGAAGTGGTGGCAAATACTTAACATAACCAGACAGATTCAATATTTCTTGGGTCATTGTCTAAGACTATTTTAAAATCTTATATGATAAAAAGTAGTTACAAAAATATATCAATATCACCCTATATCTACACCTACACTCTTTTGAACGCATGTACTGAAACGGTTCTCAGCAGAATACACAAATACCTATGATTGTCTCAAAAGATAGATCACCTAAACGTCTAGACGTGTTTTGAAGTTAAGTATTCTACGTATCTATCGGGTCTACCAAATTTCTCAAGTAATGACAACTAGCCATGGCACGCTGATCAGAATTTTTTTTCCGAGTTGCAAGTTATTCTGAACTTACGAGGACACATTCCCATGTGTCGGAATGCTTTTCAGACGGAGTTTCGTGCGTCTTGTAGCCGTTAGTGAGCTATGTCTATGGTAAAATGAGTACGGGTTTCTGGCTTATTTCTGAGGAGATAGAACGTTTGTAGTGAATCTTCGCTATAGGATCCAACATTTGCAGCAAGACCATATTTTTGAATTTTGAGCTGAAGCTTCGACCACATAGAGATGTGTGATTGTGACTAACTTGCATAAAACATTTCATAGCGTCTGAATTACATCTTGCTGAGATATGAAGGTTTCAAAAAATACGTATTATGTGCATGATCTATTGAAGTCGGTCTACATCGTGATAGCTTTATATCTCAGAGAGACGTAATTCAAATGCTCTGAACTTTTTTATGCAAGTTAGTCTCACTCACATCTTTATGTGGTCAAAGCTTCAGCTCAAAATTCAAAAATATGGTCTTGCTGCAAATGTTGGGTCCTATAGCAAAAATTCACTACAAACGTTCTATCTCCTCAGAAATAAGCCAGAAACCACCTAGAACTGTTTTCTCGTCAGTATTTGAGTTCAGGATGATATCGAAATGGAAACCATATTCATGCCGAAATATCTCATTGTGCTTCTTCTCGTTTGTATCCTTAATAGATCCTGCCTAATGAGGAAATAATCATCTCAAAAGCAATATATCTTCGGATAATTCGAAAGTAGTCGAGAAGGTTCGATAATTTCTAATAAAAGGCTCTAAAAAAAACTTTCTTTATTTAGAGGCTAATAGAGAAAAGGATGTTCTATTTTTCTATGCTATTAGGTCATACTTTAGCTAATGTCATAGTAATAAGCTTTCGATGAGATGTGTTTCGTTAGCATATGTGCTAGTTGCATTAGATTATAATGGGTGACGCAGAATAAATGCTTGCACTTTATATTTCACTTTTTAATCATTTAACACGTTGTATGAGAAAAACGGAATATACCACAAGATGCAGCGTGAATAGTTCCACAATTTACACACGACCGCTTATTTTCTGTATCCAACTTTGTTTCCAAATTGCACATAATACTATGTGACCACTTGTATGTACCTTCTCTAGCAAGTGATATAAGAGTGAATTGGAAATAAGAAAAGGACTTTGTCATGTGCCAGAAAGTTATGTTTTCCGCACGATCATATTTGACACTTCAAACATTTTTCCATTTTGAAAACAAAAGGCGGCCATACATAAAATAAGCGGTCTTATGTAAATTGTAGAACTATTCATGCTGCATCTTGTGATATATTCCGTGTGTCTCATACAATGTGTTAAGTGATTAAAAAGTGAAATATCATATAGCCATAGGTGGTGAAAGAAAAAAATTTTGTTGTACATAAGATTTACATCACCCTTGAATTGCAGAATGGCAAACAACTAGGCACAAGAGATTTGAATCAATGCGAAAAGTTTTTAAATTGACGAATTAGTAGAAATTCATATACATATGAGACCTGTTGTTTAATCTCATTCTCTGTACTAAGAAGTGACAATTGACCTTTCTATCTTAACTTATGATTACCCAAAAAAGTTAGTTGTTAAGTTCTAGAATTGGAAAACTTTGTTCTCTCTCTCATATTTGATAGTTTAGCTCACATTGTATGGGTTGTAGTAAGATGCTTTAATCGAGTCCTATCGTTGATGCACGTGTTACTTTGAATGTTGGATATAGTGTGCTGCGGAAACGACTTTTCGCAATGCCCGTTTTCACCTTCGGGGTGACGTAACACTTTTCAGATTTTTATCACGATTTCATTTTTCGTGTTTGAGAAAAGTTATCATATTAGATACTAGCGTTTGTCAAGGTCACACTTTACGCAACGTGAGATAGCCTTAAATTAAAAATAAAATCATCATTGTAGGTATATCGTAATAAAATAAATCATTATTATTTGCAGATTCAAATTGATCAATATTGAATTACGAGAGTTTTTTTTCTTCGTAGGTTGAACAATTGAAAAGAGAAAAACAGACTAGTCCATCAACAACACCGATAAAAAAGACAGTATTCAAAAGAAGATAATAATAATAGTATATCACGAGATAATCGGATTAATAGTACTTTCGAAGATGATAATCACAGAGAGAATAATAGTTATAATGATTGAATTAGAATTTAATATATAGTCAATAAATTTATTTGATTTTTGTTGATGGATATTCGTTATTTTTCTTTCATGTAATAAATAATTTGCAAGTTGTTCGACCAATGTCGGAATCTATTTCTCAACAACGTAATACTGGATTGACTTTGTCAATTTAATGTTAGAAAGAGCAAATTTTGGAGAGTATTTACATGAAAAAAGCAATTGATAGGCTGTCTTTTTTTTAATATCCTTGTCATTTCCATCTTTTCGTCCTAGATTCTTGTGGATAATGGAATGAGAAGCTTTGACAAAAGCAATTCTTACAGGACACTAATTGAATGTGGATGAAGATGAGGGCCACACCATGTCAACCTATCCACTCAACCATACCACGCTCACACCCACACTGATTCAAAATCATTTTCAACCTAGGAATTCATGTCTCTACACTCAGATGGTTTCGTACAACGAAGGCTACTGGCTAATATTCACTTTTGAAATGTAGTAACTCCTTTTTGGTGGTTTGTTTCTGTTCTTCTTGTACGAACGCTGGCCAGTTTTGAAAAAATAGGCAAAATGAATGCTAATGAAAGAGAGTGGTGGATTATTCTATTCATATAGATTTATTGCTTCTCCTTTCTCCTCCACCAGTCTTATTTGCCATCGTGTTTCGCAAATCCCAGGCTTTTTCTCATTTTTTTCGAAAGTTTTTTTCATTCAGAAGACGAAGAAAGATCAACGCAGAAAAAATGGACAACTAACTAAAAATAGGCAGACAAAAGGCGCTCATGTTTTGCATCTACTATTGCCAAGTTACTTCGATGCCGATTGGGGTATGAGTGTGGGCGTGAGTGTAAGGAAACCTACAAGTATATCCGTAACGATACTTCATTTTTCATTCATCGATGGAATCGAAAATATAAATTCGAATGGTTGAATGTTTGGATTTATAAAAAAGACAAATCATTTTGTTCCTTCTGACTATTCACTTTTTTCCTCACAGTTGAATTTAACAAGTCGAATATTTTACAGTTAATTGTCAACCGAAAAATCAATCAGTTCATAATCGAAGTTGTTGTTGTAAGACATTTCACAATAATAATTCAACAACATTCGGATTCTCTTTTTTTATAGCGATCAATGACATTTCTACTATTTCTATGTGGGCAACAATAGAGTGCAACATTTTTACATATTGATATTCATGTTAAAAAATTTCATTAATAACTGTAATCGAATATCAGATAAAATATATTCGATGTCGTAATTGAATTTTGCTCGATAGTTATACAAATTCTCAAAGAAACTGGATCAGTGTTACGGCTTCTTTTTCAATTTTTATTTTATGCAAATCTAAAAATGAGAAACAGACCGAGCAACAATAGTACTTCTTTTCTATTAATTCATGCATAAATCAACATCAACGCAATGCTTTCTATTTTTCTCACACTCCATGCTAGTGAAAAGCAATACGCGCAAACGTGTTAGCAGAAATTTATTATTAACTAAGAAATAAATACATATATACAATCGCTAAACAAAGAGTTGCATTAGTCAGAAATAAAAAGTACTTCTGTTGTGTCTAACATCATTTCTTGAAACTGTTACAATAAATATAAACTTCCTGTTTGTAGAAATAGGTGAGTCTTTAAACGGCAGCATCATTTACAGGTTAATAGTTTCTAGCTTCATTGATTTCTGTCTTCTACCGTGAACCTTCTTAGTAATGAGTCATTTTTTTCTTCTGATCATGCCACATTCCTTCTACCATAATTTATCGAACAAATAACAAAGCAATCGTTTTCTCCTAACTAAGGACAACATTCATCGATCAGCAGAGCAAGCCTTTAACCACATTCAACAACAGAATTCGATAATATTTTTTGTTGTCTTTGTTGATAGCAGCAAGCGAGAACACCCTTTCGTCTCTCCTGTTCTAGCTTATTTACACATAAAATATATTGTCTTTTAGTTGCATTATTTGTTAAAAACTTATGAGTTTCTTTAAATAAAATATTGTTTGCGAAATTGAATTATGCTATATATAGTTATGAAAGACGATTGAAAACTTTTTCTCTTTCATTGCATGATTGAATTGAATTTAGGCTACATGACACTCTTTCTTTCTTCAAACAATTCTCGAACAGCACGATTTTGTCTTATTTGATTAAGCTTCCACACTTGCTTGTCAAAATCTCATTGCATAACTTACACAGCAACTTTTTGAAGCTTATCGAATAAAAGAAAAATCGATCTGAAACCATCTTCAATGGCATCTGGAACACGTAGACCAACGGTAGTTCGTGTCAGTAAACAACTATTATGCGTATGTATCTATTGATATCTAACCAACTACATATTTAGCAATCGGTAATTTAACTAGGAAAAGCAAGTAGTTACTCATGTAGAGAGAACGAACCATCGTTCTGTTCAAGTGCAAAGAATCAGTCGATCGAAGAGTTGTCAAGGGGAACCGAGTCATCCAAACAATGTTCAGAGGCAGATAATGCGCCCTTCTATTCAAGCAAACACAACTAGCTGGCCGAGCAGCTTTGATCAAAAACCAAATCTATCATTGAAGAACCAGAACCAGGCCTTAAATTCATCTGTCCATGCGCAAAAGACAAATCAAACATTGAGAACTCATCGCAGGGCAAAAGATGTACCCACACATGGCAAGAATACCAATTCACCGATTGACGTAAAACAACTTTTTATATTTGATCAGATGGATATCTTGTCCATTCTTTAGTAACGAGTAGATGAGAATTATTCTCAAAAGAATTAGAGTAGATGTAATAATTTCTATCTTCTTACAAGGTATTTCTTCACTCTTTACATACACCGTCATCTTCATGTAGGCTTGTGCGAGATTAAATTACATGTAAATATGTAAACGGTGACTAAGCAATAAAAAGAAACAAAATGGATTGGCTTATTAAACTACTGCTTCGCGAATAATTATGATGAAAGTGTCGATACTTTTGTTTTTGATGGGAAAAGTGGAGAATCGACTTTATCTACACTAATATTTTATTTTATAGTCTGACGCCGTATATATTATATCACGACACAATCGCTCATCATCTGCTGTCAGTCGAAATCAAGTCGCACCACTAGAAGAGAAACTTGGCACACTAGGTCAAACCACTAAATATTTCACTAAACACAATTACCCTAGATATGATCATGTGCGGGAAAATAATGGTGACGAGGACAAGAAGCGAAAGAAGCGCAAAAGGTAAGCTATTTCTTATTCAATAATGTCTGACTTTGAATTAAATATACGGTGATTCAGAAGACGTGGAGCATTCTATATAACGAGATGCTGTTGCTACTGTCTGATAGCTACTATTTTGGCATGTATTTTACTCGCGGCACTCGTGGCGGCTATAATTCTCATTGGTATGTACTTGTACAAGAATTAAATAGATTAATTGCAATGCTTCAAAGCCATTTCTGGCAATTGATTGATAATCAATATTATGCCCATTGTCATAAATAATTCAATGCTTCTGTTACTTAACTCGAATTAATAACTGACACATAAATATCGTGTCAATCTTTAGAATATCCATCGATTATATTTCTTGTCCAGATTTTCAAAAATTTGTCAATCTGCATTGATACTCTAAGAAACCTCCAAAACAAGATAGATACATGCAACATAGGCAAACTAACGTGTATTTAGCATGTACCATTTCCGGTTTGATTAGATATAAATTCAGTTGATACATGAATATGCTATTCTTTTTTATTTGCTTATTTTGAATTCGACTGTTCAATGCTCTATGAGAACTATGTAAAGACAAAGAATATATTAATTGGTGTTGTAAAAGAAGATTTTCATTTTTTTTGTCTTGAACTTTGTCTAAAATGTTCAAAAGATGATTCGACATAATGTTCTTTTTATCTACTAGCTATACAAGCGAAAACAGTGATAACTACTACGACCACCACTGCAAGTACTTGTAAGTAGAAATCTTCAACATATGATAAAACTGAATGTTGCTATAAAATTTTAAGCAACAAGCACAACATCGACCACAACAACAACAACAACAACAACCACATCAAGCAGCACTACAACGAGTATTATCTAAAGCTAAATCATAAATAAACTATAATCTTTATATCTCTCTATTTAGCAACGACCGATACTACCAGTACCAGTACCAGTACTTGTAAGTAGAAATCTTCAACATATGATAAAACTGAATGTTACTATAAAACTTCAAGCAACAACCACAACATCGACCACGACAACAACAACTTCTACCTCCACATCAAGCAGTACTGTAACAAGTATGATCCAAAGCTAAATCACAAACAAACTATGATCTTTATATCTCTCTATCTAGCAACGACCACTACTACCAGTACCAGTACCAGTACTTGTAAGTAGAAATGTGTAACATGTGATAATAATAAATTTTGCTATAAAACTTCAAGCAACGAGCACAACATCGACGAAGACAACAACAACAACAACAACCACATCAAGCAGCACTACAACGAGTATTATCTAAAGCTAAATCATAAATAAACTATAATTTTTACTTCTCTTTTTAGCAACGACAACTACAACTGTCTACGATCCATGTCAGTTATTTTTCGTGCAACGGTTATATATATGCAGTGTGAAATATTGTTTTAGGTGCTAACCTTCGTTGGAATCAGACAGGGGTACGGGTGGCTGGCACCGACAAAGACGGTTCAGCTGCTAATCAGTTCAAGGATCCATCTTGTATATATATTGATGCAAGCGACACACTTTATATTTGTGACCATCATAATGATCGTGTTCAAAAGTGGACCAAAGGTGCGACAAGTGGTGTGACAGTGGCTGGTACTACTGCTGGTTCAGGTGCGACCGATGTTCCTCACGCTCAGTCGCTTACTTTTGACAAATATGGAAACATGTATGTTACAAGTCATGAGCTTGATAAGGTACTCCGCTTTCCTCCGAATTCGTTCACGGGTACAACTGTCGCAGGAAGCAGTAAAGCAGGGACTGGGCTTGATGATCTGAACGACCCAACAGATATGGTTGTTGATGATAATTTGAACCTTTATGTCGTTGATACGAAAAATAACCGTGTGATTATGTGGACTGCAAATGCAACCAGTGGTACTCCTGTAATTAGTAGCACTGCTATTGATGGTGTAAAAGGAATTGTATTTGTTCCTGGGTCATCGAATCAGGTTTATTTAAGTGATTCCGGTCAAAAATGTATCTATTTGTGGACATTTGGCGCATCATCGCCAAATATTACTCTTACGCAAGTTAAAAACAGCACTACAACTACTCTTGGCGAAGTGCAGGGTATCATTTTCGACTCATCTAAAAATTTGTTTGTTGCCGATAAAACAAATGATCGAGTAGTGATGTATTGTGTGAATTCAACAGTGGGTATTCCTGTAGTTGGAGAGGGTGATACCTCACCCATACCGACGAAACCCATGGATATAGCCTTCGACTCGAATTATAATATGTACGTGGTCACGGAAGATGATGAAGTCATCAAATATGCGCGACTATGAACAAAATACTCGTAATCTTCACAATTCATAACAATATCCAGAGATACTTTGATAAATAGTGATCAATGACATTTTTATCACTCCATTAAACTAGCAAAATAAGCAAAAAAGCATAGATCCAATGAAGTGAATCGGATCATTAAGTTTAATCATAAGCAAATATGATTTTTCAGTGTGCTTACGGCAATGAAAATGCGAGCTCAGTAAATTCTCATCAATGAACATGAAAGACGATAACATTTTTCGCGTCAAATTTTCCTCGACTTGAACGTCTAACTATGCAACCAAACAATTAAAGTTGACTTCTGCATTCCTCTCAATGAATAGGAAATGTGAATATAAGTGTGAATAGTGATGAAAGCAGGAGTTGCGTATATACTCACACCCGCAGCTACCCACTTTAAAGAAAGTATAGGCACAAGAATTTCAAAGGCCACACAAATCTAGGTTTCGTTGATTCGATTTGTATTTTCGAATAGTGAATCTATGTTTGAGGATGAACGATATAAGAGTAGGTAGGGGTAAGTTAGAGTGTGTTGTATGCTCTGACATCGCTCAGCCTCAGTTACCACACACAGACTTGCTTAGTCACACTCTAAAATTCGTTAACATGGCCCATATTTCAAAAATATTTTACGTCGAAAATTCATAGCGCACTTTCGGTCTCTACACTTTTGCTAGTTTGCACTGAACTCGAAGTAGTCAAGTGAGCTATGTCGATATTGCTAATTGAACGAACTGGTCGTATTCAAAGTTTTCAACTCATTCTCATTCTAGTAAGGTGAACACCTTGTAAGTGTTCTTAGCAATGACAACAATAAACAGTCGTTGTCATAATTCTCAAGTTTGTTTTGTCGTTCTGTTTCGTATCTTAGCAGAACGTTGTGCAAAGATGAAGCAAACACATTGTTATTTCGGGAATGTGTCAACTCGTCACGTTTTTTCTTGTCTGGTTTTCGTAACGAATTGACAGTGCGAAAGCCTGTGACAGAGCTTTCGTAACGACAGAATCAGGGCTTTCGTAACAAAAAATCAGGGGTTTCGTAACAAAGTTTACAGGATGATCGTAATTGGTGTTTTAATACGTACCATTACAGAGCTTTCGTAACGAAAAGCATGTAATTTCTGAAAACTCAGTTCAGCTATCACCCTTATCCTCATTACGAAACCCCTGTTGCTCCGTTGCGAAAGCTCTGCAACTGTTACGAACTCCCTGTATTAATCGTTACGATCACCCTGTAAATTTCGTTACGACATCCCTGTATTTTTGGATATCCCTATTTTTGGTGTTACGAAAGGTCTGATTTTTGCTGTTTGTTCAACTCGTCACGTGACGAGTTGAGACGTTCTCGTTATTTCATTTATTGTGTTTTCTTCAAAAGTAAACAGTGGCAGTTTCACATGAAACAAAGCCTAAACTTTCTTTGATTAGGTAGCCAAGCAAGTTTTGTTTGATCGTCGTTACGTTATTAGATACAGAGTAGAGTAGGCATTGTATCTTGATAGTAATCTGCAGAAACTACGTCGAAAAGCGAAAAAAAACTAATCACAGATTTCAATATGCTACCTAAGTTGTTATGCATCAGAGATTTTTGAACACAGTTTCGACTATTCAAATCATCAGATTCGACTAGTTTTTTTGCTACAAATGAATGAACTTTGTCAAGTTTCACCTTTGAATCAAACAGGATGTAGAGATTATGTTATATATGAGTAGTCAAATAAATGTATTCTATGTCGCCATTCTGAATCCTGCCAAAGCAGTAGCAAAACTTGAAATAACTAATTGTATTTCGAATACCATCTCTTCTCCGTTGTCAGAAGCTTACAAAAGTGCTCAAAGCATTTAAATAGCTTAAATTCTCATACAATCCAAATAAGGGTTGCCTTAGTCATCCTGTGTTCCATACAATATCACGAGATTAGTCTGAAGCCTATGTTACCTTTAATCATTGACAAATGATTGTAAAATATTGGCATTGACTTTATATTTTCCTTCTTGATACTTGAAACTCTATGTAACAAAAAAGTGAACAAAAAACAACTTTTATATACTTTTAATATTAATGAAATACTGTTTCCAATAGTGTGATAATTGAAATTTAATTCAATTATTGAAGTCATTTTCAAGTATGCAAGTATTCAGATTATTCCATGGTATCAACCAATGATACACATTACTGTGTAAACAGATTGTAGTATGAGACGCAGCTCTCCAGACGGTTCTACAATACTTCCAGGTCATGGAGTCGATATAAAAGGTTATTTACATGTACCAAGTGTTTTGTTCTCACCTCTCTCCCTCTCCCGCTCACTAAGGATTCTGCTGCAAAGAGTTTTGATTTCGAACCCCTTCCTTGAGTGTTCTACTTATAACTCCTCCATCTTAAAGAGTTTTGCTTACCTCCAAATATTCAATAATTGAATAGTTGATATTAAGTTGATTAATTGAATTCAAGTTCTAATTATTACTTAGGACTGACCAAAGGTTCTAAGAACATTACATAAAAATAGAGAGATATTTTTCATTTTATTTTATTAAATGTTTAAAATAGTCGCCATGATTATTTATGCAAAGTCCCATTCTTTCTAACAAATTGTCAAATGTTTTTTTTTAAACTATTTTTCTGGAATATTTTTAACTATCTTGCAAATCACACGAGCCAATGAGTTTTCATTTATTTGATCAGTGAATTACACTTGATGTAATGATTTTCTGATGGAACGACTCACTCGTTCCTACTTTTATTTTAACAATAAATGTGTATATATGCGATACAAGTAACAATAAGAGAAACACAACATAGGTATATATTGTCTTTTCATTTCGTGTGCACGATTTATTATGTGTTAACCACTCAAGCGCATCGTTTTTTACATGAGTTTCGTTGTATACAACTTGCTAAGCGTATGTTGTGTAAATCAATTTTCAATGGAGTATGCAGTAAGAAAAATAAAAAAAGAAAACTACACAAAATTACGATTGGTGAGAAACAAAACAAGTTACTTTGTCACAAAGATAAAAAAGCAAACCACTTGACAAAACAAGTAAACAGTGTGATATAGACAACATCTCGTCTAATCAAGAAGCCTGTGACAAAATAATTTTTCAATACATTAAATTTTGTTCATTTCGTTGTGGTGAGTAACATATCAGAGTAATGCCAGAAGAAGAAAAAAAAGCTTGTTAGCTAACGCACACATATCGATAGTATGATCTACACATTAGACAGGATTTAGACAAATATAAAATTAATCCCATTGATTGGCTTTTCTTTTGAGCCGTCGATCGAAAAATATTTGTTAGGCTGTAGATGTCAGTAGGGATGTTCACATACACTTTTTTTTTATATGTAAAAATGTTATAGAAAATTATTTTAGATAAATGACTTGTGCAACCTTCTGTAGAAACGACAAAAGAGACAGAATAAGATGCATTATTGATACATGATGTTCATTTGACATGAGTCTTTATATAATCGATGTCTTATTATTAGGTATAATTTATCGTTTCAGTCAAGTAATAAGAGAGACAGCAACCAAAGAAAGATGTATGTGATTTCTCTTGTTTCTCTTCCTGTGCTTCATGATTCGTACATACATAGTAGCCAGAGTGAATGTAAATAAATAACATGAAATTTCTTTCAACAAAGTCATATCTTCATAGCGTGACACAAACATACAAATTTCACCAACAGAGAAGATCATATTGCTGAAGTTCTTGTTTCAGAGAATCGAACAGTTAGATACATCTACTTGCACGTGGCCTGTGAATTGGAGAAGAGAACAACAATGCGACAACACAGAATCGTTGCAGGTGATACGTTTTGGACTCTCAGCCAAAAGTACGAATGCACACTCGGAGCAATATACGCTGCGAATCCTGGTGTAATACCTGAGGAATTACAAATTGGTCAAATTTTGAATGTGCCTGAAGGAAGAGGAAGTATGGTCACTTCATTTCTTTTTCTCTACGTTTATTGTTTTCTAAATAGGCA